AAAAAAGAAATAGCGGCGGCAGCCACCATAGTTGGCAGCCATGGTGGTTTTTCTCGGGATTGTTGGCCAAACGAGCATCCATTGACACTTCACAGTGAAGTAGTAACCACACAAACACGAGTTCGACACGAAGCATGCACCCACCTCGACCACTTCTAATGACAGACGTCAACCGAATCACAAAGAGGCAGTTGCTCGGAGCTGTGGCGGCGACAGCGAAATCATGGACTGAAACGTAGCACCAACGATCGGGGATAAGGCTGAGACTTCGAGCGACATTAGTGGTCTGAAGAACGACCGCTAGGCCCTCAATATCGTCGGCAACGAAGCATCAAAGGAGCTGAACAACGTTCCACCATGATAGCAGGAGAGTCGGCTGGTTGCGGCGGTCGTTCGGGAACGTGAGTGGTCGGAGAAACACAAACAAGAGGCGATGATAGCTGGGAATGTTCACACATGGTAGCTAAGATGCACATGAGAGGTGGTGGCGACTGCTTTCCCACATTAGGGTTAGGGTTAGGAGGTAACAAGTTTATATACCCGTTTCATACAACTTCATCCCATAATGACATATATGGCCCCTCCTTCTTCATTTTCTTTCAAACTTAGTCCTTAAATTACCAATTCAACCCTATCTTCTGAAATCCTTTACAAACTAAGTCTCATATTTTACTAAGTGGCCCCTCCCTCGACAATTATTGTTAAATGAGGTCCATAATTTACTCTTTAGCCGCCGTTTTCATAAATCGTTTCATATTAGGTCTAATACTTACCAAATATCCCCCTATCTTCTAAAATATTTACAAAATAAACCCCAAACTCATACTTTAACCCCCGAAATATCCAACTTAAGGCATTGGCTTCCTAAAACCGACACCTTGATATATAAATATCGATTTAACGGGTACTATACACTCGTTAATTTATTTATTTATCTAATAAATAAATGGGGGTGTTACAGTGATTGTGTACCTCCTCATGTTTTGTTTCATGATGTCGGGATTACTCTGATATTAAACATGTTTTGAAAACTATTTGTAAACAATGATGATTTTTGGGTTGTTTTAAAAGTTTAAATTTTTCATGAATTTTTTGGATGTTAGAAGTTGGTGTCAGCGCCTTGGTTTGAGTGAATTGGAAGAACACTCATGTGAATCCAGTCTCAAATTAAGGAAAAATATTTCTAACATTATTTTTCAAATGATTTTCAAAATAATCGAGGATATGATGTGTACAATTAATCGGAGCTAGTAAGTAGACCCACAAATGCCATATTGTTATTTGATATTGTTGCTGTATTAGGTGTCTAAGACAATAATTGTATTAGGTGTCTAAGACATGGTCCTTTTGGGTTGTCTTCACACGCAACTAGACATGATGATTAATTGAGGAAGAGGAAGAATTTATTAATTGATTAATAAATTGGAATTAATGATTTATTAACACATTATGGAAATAATATATTAATTAGTAATCATATCATTAATTAATATTTAATCATAAATTAATTTGGAATTAAAAGAATTAATTAATAGTGCGTGGACTAAAAGTGCAATTGTTCAATAGTTGAGCAAAAGAGTCCAGAACCTTCCTAGGGAAGGGTGGAAAGTTTTTTAATGTGTATATGGAAGATTATTCTAGAGTTTATAGAATATCTTAGCATATATGGATAATCAAAGGAGGTGGATAATTACGATATTTGAGATTAGGGTTATCCATAGCATCCTTGATGCATTATAAATAGAACCCTAGAGGCTTTGAATTTCGGTAACTCTTTAATAGAAGCTAGAGCTGAAATTTTGATCTCTCCTCCTCTCTCATATCATTCTCTTGCATTGTATGCTTATGAGCCATTAGAGGTGTTACACTTGTGACACTAAGTTCTCAAGCTTCAAGATCTACAAGGGATTTATTCTTATTACAATATAACAATCAAGGTATGTAACCTAACTCTAGTTTTATATGAATTTAGAAAATAGTATACCTCTCCTAGGGTTTCTACTTTTTTGTTCAAGTTTGCATGTTCAATAAAGAAAACCTAGATCCAATGTATTAAGGTTGCATGTACACTTAGGAATTGTTGTTATACTCAAAACCCATCAGTGGTATCGGAGACTAGGATTAATTTTTTGTTGAATATGATGCAATTGTGAATTGCTCAAAGGAGAAGGGATCAGAATCGTCATTTTGTTCATTGAACTCGACGAGTTCATCTTGAAACTTGACGAGTTGACATCAATTTGACGAGTGCATTGCCTAACCCGACGAGTTGCAATGTTAGATCCAGAATTTTCAGTTTTGATAATTATCTCATTGATTGATTAGGATAATTACCTTAAATTCATTTTAATTGTTTAAAATTTGATATTTTAATCAGTAATTTGTATCCTTATCCTGAATTCATGATTGTGTTAAAGTTTTTAATAAAGATAAAATTAATTTGTTAACTAATTTATTAAAAATTTAACCTAGTATTTTTGATAGGTTTTAAAAATACGCCCATGGTTTTAAACTTTAAAAATTAAATTAAATAGTTTAATTTTGAAAATTTTAAAACTTAGAACCCTAGTAGTTTAAACGTTTAAAATACACCCTTATATATATTGTAAAATTAAACGTTAATATATATATATATATATATATATATATATATATATATAAGTCAATCTTATCGTTAGTAGGCCTTATTCACGAAGTTGGTCTATAAGAGGAGTTTAAGGAAGCGACCTATAAAATGACCGTCATTAGGTATCCACTCTTACCCACCACTCTCTTGACTAGTGGATGGTCGTTAGTCGAACGGGTTTGATAGGACACTTAATTCTCATTAATAAGTATAATGAAATATATAAAGTAACTAAATGTTTTCATAAAATTTCCAATCTTAATTACTTTAGGAAAAATGTGAATTTGATGTTAATCCATGAAATTTCACATTGCACTTTATAAATGTCGTTAGTAAGCGTGTATGGTTAACTGACACACTAATATGGACTAATAAACGGTGGAAATGGGTAGCTCATAAATTATCATTGATTAATGGAGCGTGTGTAGTTAACCGACATATTAGTTAGATGATAAATGACATCGAGAGTATCAAGCTAATTTGCATGGTTATGCACACCTTGTTTGTGATCCTCGGTATCCCAAACACAAATCAAGCAGGCATAATCGAGATTAAACAAGCCATAGAATAGTTCAATGAATCTCAAAAGATCTAGGAAATTCATTTAAAACTTATGTCGCTTAAAATTTCGTTTTCTTGGTTGTGAAATTGGTAAATCATCATTTACCTACCTTCAAATAATTTGCAACTGGATTATGGCACCCCTCTTCTGAATTGTGAATTATTTAGTTGGATCCTATCCTTAATATTTCATTTGGGTGTTATATTAAGGATTTTCTTATCTAATCAAATCTTATGCTTTTTCTTTTTCAGATGTCAACTTCAAACAATGCTTCCAGCTCCTCCAATAACAACTTCAACCACTTCTTGCTCTTGAGCATCTGCTCGAAGGTCACCATTGATGGTTCTAACTTTAATGATTGGATACTCAATGTTAGAATGACCTTGAGGTTCGAGGACATGGAATATGTTATCGAAAGGGAGCTGAATAAGATTGATGAAACTAAATCTACTCCCGCAGAAATTGTTGAATATAGGAGACACTGCAATGATGCTACCAAGGTCTTATGCATCATGGTGGCTACTATGACTCCCGAGTTGCAAAGGTTCTATGATAACTATTGGCCTTATGAGATGTGCAAGGACTTGATGGAGAAGTACCATCAACGAGCCCGTCAAGAAAGGTACGAAATAGTCAAGTCACTCATAACAAGCAAGATGAATAATGGAGAGTCTGTCACGACCCACTTGCAACACATGCAACGTTATGTGGATCATATGTTGAAGCTTAGTGTTAACTTTGATGAGGAATTGGCTATTGACATAGTCTTGCAATCATTGCCTAGTTGTTTTTTTTTTTTTTGAAAGAGACAACAGTCTCAGGCAAACTTTATTAAAGAAAGAATAAAAGAATTACAACAAATAAAATAAAAACGACCAACAACCTACAAACAACCAACCTTACACTAAAAATCTACTCCAACATATCCAAATCCATTGACTTAGCCATTTTCTACTACTACCAACACACCAAACTCTAAACAAAAAAAAATAACCCTTAGCCCAAACATACTCCTCAACCATCAATAAAATCCAAAAAAACAAAACCCAAAAAACAGAAAATTGTCTCATCTGATACCAATTCCAAATCCTTAAAAAGCTAGAAAAGAGCCGCCAATCCACACCTTTTAACCACCAGCAAACCTCCAAAATCCCTTTCCAAATCTGCATTAAACCCCATCCGAAAAGAAAACGAGTCTTGAAGATAGATCATTATTTTTTAACTGATCCCAACACTCCATTCCCTACCCCCCCCCCCCCCGCCCCCCAATTCATATTACTAACATCAAAGGGTATATTCTTCATTTAATATTCTCCTTTAGAGTTAATTACATAATTAACCCCATGAGAATTAACATAACTAGGACTTGGATCAGTATGCATCACATGTTCCATCCCACCAGAACCAACCTTATAAGAATCAACGTGTTGACTTTTAATGTCATCCTCTAACATGTCCACAAACTCATTGGTAATATTATTTTAAAAAACAAAACGATTCACTGAATTACCAATAATGTTTTCCTTATGGCTATCCTTTATATCCTTTCCCTTCCTCTTTTTTCTCTGTTTTACCAAAATCCATAGTATCTTTCCCATTATGCCCGTGCTTATCCACAAAGTAAGATTTATTATTAGCACCAACAAACTCTTGATTCTTTTGATGATTCCAATGGCTAACACTTCCCCGATTCCAGTTCCCACCCTGACCTCTGTTATTCCAACATTTATTACCCTTATTACCACTATTATAGCTTCCTCTATTACTATTCCCACCATTCCAATTACTATTTTTGCTTCCAGAAGAATTCGACTAAACACTAACTATACCATTCCCTTTCACAGAAGCTTTCCCTGTATTTCCAGCTTTTTTTGTAATCATAGTATACCCCTCACCATCTTTATCGATCACACCCTGAGTGTTACTATCAACAACTAAATTTTTCCCATTTAAACCTACCAAAAAGATAGAATCACCATGACCAAAAACTTTACAGATAGAACAACGAGAAGTTCGCCAAACATATTCAACAACAAAGTTTTGAACAGCAACTTTATCAAGTTCAAAATCCCAAGTTCCAACATCAATACTATATGTCCACTGTTTATTAGCCGACATATCAACTAAAATCCTTGCATATGCACTTCTTCCCTTATGCTCAATACACATTTATTTTGTAAATGAATCAAAAGCCAAAGGAATACCAATCTTTCTAGCAATGATGCAAAGATTATTAACACTCCAAGCTTCCAAAGCCAGATCAAAAATCTTGATCCAAACAGCACACTTTTATGGGAATCCGTAATGAGGGCCAAACTCGAACGCCATTTCTGAATGAAAATGGGATATTTGTTTAGAATAATCTAAGGGATATTATCTAATATATGCCTCATTCCTTGCTCTAAGTTGAATTTAAAAATAAAAACCCTTTGATATTCATGAAGACATCTTCAAGACCCACATTCTTCCATATTTTCCTAACTTCTACACTAATCAATGGAAACCTAATCTTCTTATTAAGAAAATAAACATACAAGGTATTCATGAAAGGAATACTTGCCTTCTTCAAATTGTCAATTGGCAGAAACACATGCCCCTCATCAGAACCATCAGCCGAAGGAATAAACATAACTTACAACTTCCCCTTATGAGTTGTACCATTGAGAACTCCAGCATATGACATCTTCTGAACAGAATCATCTTTATCCTTAGCATCAATAAATATTTTCTCTCCTTTATAATTAGAAGCATCAATATCTTGTCTTCTTTTACTAGCATCACCTAGAATAGATGGCTCCAGGTTAATGCTGTTGATATTTGTGGCAGTCTTCTTCAATGTCAAATTCTTATCAGAACATTTAGCATGTGGACCATTATTCTTGATCTCCCCTTCTTCTTTACTCAATTCAACATCTGATTCAACTGCCACATTACCATTGTCATGCCATTTACAAGACTTATTCAGATAATCAAATTCACCATTATTCTCAACTGAATTCCCCCTTTCCATAGTCACATCGCATAGAAATTTAAACCCAATACCAGGTATAAACTCATTCTCAAGATCATTCATCCATTTATCCTCCTGGTTCAACACCTTACTCTTTCCAGAATTACCAACAAAATCATCCTGATCACCATTCATATCCTTCTCGAGAGAATAGTCAATACTAACAACAATAGAAGGACTAACATTAATCATATGCCTCTTCACTTGATTCAAATCGAAATTAGGGCTAGAAATCATAACCGCATCTTTAGGTACTTCCTAATTCTTAGAAAGAATAACAATGTTAACAGATGGGATAGAATCCTCGTGAATGATCGGAGGCAAATCATTGGTCATTACTTCCGTAACATAGGAACTAGAACCCTTGATAGAAGCTTGATAAGCAACTCTAAGAGCACTGGAATCAGAATCCCACACATCATTAGATTCTGATACATCCTCCTTCTCTTTTTCTGTAACATCATCCACATAGTAATCATCAACATCTATAGGAGTTCTGAGAGGAGATTCACTCCAATTAGTCTTCCTAGCTTTATGCATACCCTCCAATTTCCACTCAACTTTCCCGATTCCCGACACAACAGCTCCAGTAGCACGTGACTTTCATCTAGCATGATAGATAGTAGCCGAAGACTGATCTACAAACCCCGGGAGGAATAACACCACTTAGATCAACTTTAGTTCGTGCAAATCGTCCCACCGTACTCTTATTAGGAGGCTTCACCTTAACATCCTTCAATCAATCTTGCTTAGAAGAAGCTCTCATCACAATAATAGAAATTGATGAGAAGATACTTTAGCAATGAGACGATAAATCTCACCAGTGAAGCAACAACAACGTAATCAAGCAGATAACGCACCGCCGGTCATTGCCTAGCTGATATGATCAATTTGTTATTATTTATCATCTGAACAAGGAGGAAACTACATTGAGTCAACTACAAAGCTTGCTAAGGACTGCTGAAATTGCGATGAATAGAAAGAGTATTGCCTCCATTCCTGTTGCTTTTGCTCCCATCTTGGCCATATGCAAAGGGAAAGGGAAGAAGAGGAAAGCTCCCTCAAAATAGTACTGGAAAGGAAAGTTTCATGTTGGGTCATCAAGTAATGTCCTAAGGGAAAATCTAGTTTTGAAGCTTCACTGCCTCTAATCTGAAGAAGGCTACTTGCTTTTACTGCCATGACAAAGGGCATTGGAAGAGAAGTCACCCAAGTAATTGCAAGACATAAAGGATGGCAAGGTTAAGCCAACCTCTGCATGTATTTATACTATTCTATCTAAAAACTCATCACATTCAAAATCTTGGGTTCTTGATACAAGGTTTGGTTTTCACATTTGCTCTGACTTGCAGGGACTAAGAAGAAGTGAAGATGTGTAGCATGGGAAGATGAACCTAATTATGGTCAATAGGAGATCGTCGTCTGTTACCAATATTGGCGTTTATTCTTTGGTGCTTAGTAGTGGGTTATGTTTAGATTTAAATATATGTTGATACTCATCATAAATGACAAGAAATACTATTTCATTTCATGGTTTATATAGACAAGGTTTTAAATATTCTTTTGATAATGAGAGTGGTTCTATTTATGCTTATTATAATGGTGTATTTTATTTTGAAGCATTACCTTGCGATGGCGTGTATGAAACTGTGATGGTTGTAGACAATTTAGGAAATAGTGTGATGCAAATTGATTCGTCTAATGGCTTAGACAAGGCATAGGGCTATAAACAAACCAAAGGAAACGAACGAGACTTGTTCATGTTCGTTCGTTCAAGTTATCCGAATAAATAAACGAACATGAATAAATAAACGAACAAGTTTTCTTTTTCATGTTCATTCGTTTAATAAATTACATTGTTCGTGTTCATTCGTTTATATTCATGAACATGCTAAACGAACATAAAACAAAGATAAAAATACATAATTGAAGATATATGTTCATGAACACGCAAAACGAACATAAAACAAAGATAAAAAAACATAATTGAACATATATGAACGTATGATAAATTAATATAATCAAACACAATTAAGCATATATGAACATAAAAGGAAGTTAGGTGAACAAATAGAAACAAAAAACATAAACGAACGTTCACTAACATAATTGAAAAAATGAGACCGTTGTTCATGTTCGTTCGTTTAACTAAACGAATGGGAAGTTGTGTTCATGTTCGTTCATATATTAAATAAACGAACTTCCCGCCGACCGATTCACGAACAATTCGTTGAACTTTCAGTTCGTTTATAGCCTTAACAAGGCATTCTTGTGCCATTGTCGTCTTGGACATGTCAAAAAGAAACATATTGCCCAACTCCAAAAGGATGGAGTGTTGGAATAATTCAACTTAAGGTCGGATGATACATGCGGGTCTAGTTTACTCGGAAAGATGACTAAATAACCTTTCATAGGTTCATGTAAAAAAGGTGAAGGATTATTGGATCTCATACACACGGATTTGTGTGGGCCCTTCATATCCACCAAAAGGGATGCAAATCGATTTTATGTGACTATTACCGATGATTATAACAGATATGGATATATCTACCTAATCAAGCATAAGCCAGAAACCTTTGAAAAGTTCAAAGAATTAAAACATGAAGTCGGAAATCAATTGGGTAGGAAGATCAAGATGCTCAGATCCGATAGAGGTGGTGAGTATCGTAGTATCGAGTTCCACGACTACCTCAATAATGTGAAATTGTTTCACAATTGACACCTCCTAGGGCACCACAACTTAATGGTGTGGCTGAAAGGTGTAATCGAACCTTTTTGTACATGGTTCGTTCCATGATGAGTCGAGCTTCACTACCAATCTCATTATGAGGGTATGCCATAGAGACTACCGCCCACATTCTAAATCTTGTTCCAATAAAGAAGGTTGCCAAAACAACTCACGAAATGTGCACAGGGACGGTTCCCTTGTTAGCAAATATCAAGGTTTGGGGTTGTGAAGCTTTTGTTAAATGAGAGACTCATGGCAAGCTTGAACCTCGAAGTGAGTGGTTAATTTTCAACGGCTATCGATAGAAGTCCTTTGGATACTTGTCCTACAAACCTAGTGAGAACATGGTCTTCGTAGCACGAAAAGGAGTCTTGAGAGGGAGAGAGAGAGAGAGAGCTCATATGCAAAGAGGAAAGTGGGAGTACAATTGATCTTGAAGAAATTCAAGAGTCAAGCGATGAAGGAACCTCTAAGACTAGCACTCAACCCGAGGAAAAAATTCCAGTTGAATCTATTGACGAGTCGTTACCTCTTTGACGTTCCACTCGAGTTAGAATGACACCAGAGTTTTATGGTTTCTATATAACTACAGATGGTGATACGTTTATTAGTGATAATACACTGGTAAATTTGGATTAACCTTCTAACTACAAAGAAGTCATGATGAGCCCTGAGTCTACTAAATGGAAAGAGGCAATGGACAGCGAGATCCAGTCCATGTATGACAATCAATTTTGGAACTTGGTTAACAATGTACCAGGTCGAAAGACAGTTAGGTGCAAATGGATCTTCAAGAAAAAGACTAATGTGGAAGGAAAGGTGCACACCTTCAAGGCTCGATTGGTTTTGAAGAGCTTTACTCAAACCCCATGGGTTGACTATGATGAGACCTTCTCACCAGTGGCCAAGATTAAATCTATTAGGGTTATGTTAACCATAGTTGCTTTTCATGATTATGAAATTTGGCAGATGGATGTCAAAACCGCTTTCCTTAATGGAAAGTTGGCTGAGGATGTTTACATGAATTAGCGAGAGGTTTTTTTAGATGCTAACAACCCCAATAGAGTGTGTAAGCTTGAGAGATCAATCTACGGATTGAAACAAGCTTATCACAGATGGAATCTTTGCTTTGATGAAAAAGTCAAAAAGTTTGGTTTCTCTAGAAGTGAGGATGAATCTTGTGTATATGTCAAAGCTAGTGGGAGTACTGTCACTTTCCTGGAATTGTATGTTGATGACATAATACTTATAGGAAACAACATTCTAACCCGGCAGGAAGTTAAGTATTGGCTTGGAAAGTGTTTCGCTATGAAGGATCTGGGAGAGGCTACTTATATTCTAGGCATTTTGAGAAATAGGAGTAGAATACTAATTAGACTTAGTCAAAGTACGTATTTGGATAAGGTGCTAAAGCATTTTAGCATGGAGAATTCAAAGAATGGGAGTTACCTATCCAAAGTAATACCAAGCTAAGTAAAACTCAAAGTTCGAGTACCGATGCATAGATAGCAGAAATGATTTGAGTCCCATATACTTCTGCTGTTGGATCGATCATGTATACTATGACATGTACTTGCCCTGGTGTGGCTTTTGATTTGAGCATGGTTAGTCGATATCAGGGAAATCTAGGTAAAGCTCACTGGATAGCGGTTAAGAACATACTTAAGTATTTGCGAAGAACTAACGACCGGGTCCTTGCGCTTGGTGGCAGTGATGACTTAAGTGTTACTGGGTATAGTGACGCCAGCTTTCAAACAGACAGAGACAACTTTCGTTCTCAGTCAGGTTGGGTATTTACCCTTAATGGAGGAGCAGTAACTTGGAAAATTTCCAAGCAAGAGACCATGGCTTATTCTACTTGTGAATCAGAGTACATTGTTGCGAGCAAAGCGTTGCTTTGACTAAGGAACCAAGAGATCATAGTAGATCTAGACATATTGATAGAAAATATCACTTTATCAAACATCGTGTAGAAGAAGCAAGCCTCGTGGTTAAGAGGGTATCATCAGAAGAGAATCTTGTTGATCCCCTCATGAAGGGTCTTAGTAGGATTAAGCATGTTCAGTACGCAAGGAGCATTGGTCTAAAGGATGATATTAGTTTTAGTTATTAGATAGTTATTTAGAAACTTGTAAAAAATATATTTAATTGACATTTGATGATTATGTAATGGAGATTTATTTATGAGTATTGTTTACTATCTTTTGTCAATTGTTTATCTTTATGTTTCTTTCACATGTTTTACTTCCCGAATAATAGGATTATTCAAAACAGCCATAATCGATCATACTTTGGAAGTAAGTAATGAAGTAAGGTTGTCATGATGTGGATTGTAGATTGGCTAAGTGTATAGACATAACAATGGTTTGCTGCAAATTTCATGAGTACTTTTGAATTAGGGATTTAAGTATTGGATTAAACCCACGCTCAGTGAATCACCTCATGGAATTTATCACGAGTAATTATGAGACATTAATACCGAATAATCTTTAAATCGAGATATATGAGTTGTTGTTTACAATTTGGTTGTGCATTGATAATGCGTAAACGCATCAGTAACTTGGTGTTATAAAATGTATTGTTGTGCATGATTTGATGAGTAAATAGTACAAGCATATGAATCAAAGTTTATCTGTTCCTTTTTCCCTAGGGGGGAAAAGCGATATATCGGGCCCCTCGATGATTTGGTGTTGACTTATGTGTCGGGCCTGGTCAGGACTGAATTGATGTGTTCTATTAATTTCTTTGTCATTACAAATTAGAAATCAGGAAATGAACTACTGAACAATGAGAATGATTTTGTTCCATGTCA